GGCCTGCTAGTCCCCTGGCTGCTCCCCAGGGCCAGCGGCAGCCTGCCAGGACAATCCAGTAACCTGGGTGGGTGCCAGATCTTCAAAGCCGTGCAGGTGCATTGTGGTCTGGCTCCGGGATCCACAGAGGGCCATGTATGTTCACGGAGCGGTTCCCAAAGACAGCCGGGAAAATACAGGTAGAAAACGTGAAGCACCATCGCCCCCTTGCGGTGCCGTGCACACAGGACACGTGCAAAGGCAGCCAGCGTGGGAGAGAAGAAAGGCATTTGGGCTTCAGACTGGGTTGTGTTCTGCCGCCAGTGAGCACCTGGGAAAACATTGGCTGAGTCTCCGATTCTGACCACAGAAGGCACCCAAATGTGTGTAAGGGCTCCTAAGACCTGTGTGTCTGGTAGCTGTGGGAGAGAGACTAAGCGAGGGGGAGAGGTCGATACGCTGGGGGGCAGGGAGAGGATCCAGAGTGACCTGGACACATTGGAGGATCGGGCCAAAAGAAACCGGATGAGGTTAAACAAGGACAAGTGCAGAGTCCTGCCCTTGGGATGGAAGAATCCCAAGCATTGGTACAGGCTGGGGACCGACTGGCTAAGCAGCAGCTTGACAGAAAAGGCCCTGGGGGTTACAGTGGATGAGAAGCTGGATATGAGTCAATAGGGCGCCTTTGTAGCCAAGAAGGCTAATGGCATATTAGGTTGCATTAAGAGGAGCATTGCCAGCAGATCCAGAGAAGCGATTATTCCCCTTTATTCGGCTCTGGTGAGGCCACATCTGGAGTATTGTGTCCAATTCTGACCCCCTCCCACTACAGAAAGGACGTGGGCGCATTGGAGAGGGTCCAGCGGAGGGCAACCAAAATGCTGAGGGGGCTGGAGCACATGGCCTATGAGGAGAGGCTGAGGGAGTTGGATCTGTTTAGTCTGCAGAAGCGAAGAGTGAGGGGGGATTTGAGAGCAGCCTGCAACTCCCGGCAGGGGGTTCCAAGGAGGCTGGAGAGAGGCTGGTCTCAGTGGGGATGGATGGCAGAACAAGGAGCAATGGGCTCAATTTGCATGGGGGAGGTCTAGGTGAATCCTGCCCGTCAGGCTCCCCGGGCAGAAATCCAGTGGACAGGTCCCTGCCGTGCGGATCTGCCTTCCGGGCGTTTGTGCTGCTCAGAAACGTTGGGTCCATGGTCGGGCGGGGGCCCCCAGCACGGGGGGCTGGATTTGAAGTGGATGGGGCTGGCTCTGGGGGCGCTCGGCCCATTGTTCCAGAGAATGGGGCCCTTCGTTTCTTGCTGGAGCCTTCGCACTGACTCCAGCTGGTGGGAGTCGTCTCTGTGCTGGGAGACTGCGATCACACAGGTCTGAAAAGACAAAGTCTCTGCAGTGGAGAGAACCTCTCTCCTGCCTCCTGCACCCCAGTCCTGCCCTCCTTTCCCCACCCCCACACTTCCAGTTACCAGCATCTGTCATCAGAACGGCCAGACGGGGTCAGACCAAAGGGCCATCCCGCCCACCGTGAGAACAGGTAATCATCATATGATTCCTCTCCTGTCATCCATTTCCAGCCTCTGACAATCAGAAGCTAGGGACACCACTCCTACCTATCTTGGCTAATAGCCATTGATGGACCTAACCTCCATGAATTTACCTAGAACCCTGTTAAAGTCCTGGTCTTCAAACATCCTCTGGCAAGGAGTTCCACAGATTGGCTGTGTGAAGAAAAACTTCCTTTTGTTTGTTTTAAACCTGCTACCTATCCCTAATTCTTATGTTATGGGAACAAGTAAATAACTTTTCCTTATTCACTTTTTCCACACCAGTGATGATTTTATAAAGCTCTATCATAGCCCCCCTCAGTCTCCTCTTTTCTAAGATGGAAAGTCCCTGTCTTTTAAATCTCTCTTCATATGGGACCCGTTCCAAAGCCCTTATCGTTTTTGTTGCCCTTCTCTGAACCTTTTCCAGTGCCAAGAGATCTCTCTTGAGAAGAGGTGACCACATGTGTACGCAGTATTCAAGATGTGGGTTTGACGGGGATTTATACAAAGGCCGTAAGATATTCTCTGTCTCATTGTCTATCCCCTTTGTAATGACTCCTAACAGTCTGTTTGCTTTTTGGACTGCCTCTGCGCCTGGAGGGGTTGTTTTCAGAGCTGTGCGCGGAGAGTTTTCTAAGCCATTCAGGGAGCCCTGTTTGGGAAGCTTCCGGTGACTACTGAGTCTTGCTGTTTGTAAGTAAGAGGGCATCACAACGAAGCAATTAGAAATCCCCCGTGTTCTAGAGTGTATGGAGGGGCACAGAAAAGCAGCCCTCTTTCCCCCGGTGGATATGCCTAAATAATGAGGTGGGAATTTTGACAGTGAATGGGAGCGGATGGGCGCCTCCTATGGAATAAAATGGGAAAGGGCCCTAGGAATGATTCATGGTTGGGGAAACCTGCCTTCAAGTGAGAAACTTCGGAAGCTCACTCCATTGACTTGTCCAAGAGGAGGCAGAGAGATGTCTGGGTGATGGTCCCCCGGTACCGCCAGGGAGAGTATTTCTGGCAGCAGTGGGTTCTTTAATCTACCGAGGTCACAACAGGATCTGGTGGGTGGACGCTGAAGCTGGAGAATTCAGATGGCGTGTTTCTAACCGGGAGCATAATGACCCATGGGAAGAATTTGGCTAGGGGTGGGGGGGACGTTTTGCCACTTGTCGCCTTTAAATCCGGGCCAGGGGCTTTCTCGAGGATCTGCTGTAGCTCCGCTCGAAGAGGCGGCTTTGAATCACAGGCTGAGTTCTCCAACCTGCATTGTACAGCAGGTCGAGCCGTGGTCCCATGAGTAAAGACTTGAATTCACCATGTCCCATTGCGTTTGAAGATGTTCAGGGTTATTGATTTATTCTTTTTTAGGACATCCCAGGTAGGTTTTGGGGGGCGGGTGCTTTTCAGTGAAACTGTAACGATTCAGGGAAAACTTTCGAAAAAATCTAGGAGGAAAAAGTCTCCTTCTCCGTGCGGCTACTCCAGAGCCTTGGGATGCAGGGGGTATACATTCCTCGATTTTACACTGGGGCGGGCTAGAAGAAAGAGAAATCTGTGGCCCTGTGCTCAGGGAAGCCTTTGACCCCCACCGTTCCAGAAATCTGTCCAAGGCTTTGGTGGACCCACCTCCGGCTCTTGCAGCCCTTTCAGCTGGTGCCGAGGAGACAGTCAATGGCATTTCTTTCAAACTGGTTGGAAAGAGGGTTTTATTTATAGCCCTTTCTGGAGGTACCAGCAGAAACCTCTCCTCGGCTGGCTCCCGGAGGGAGTCTAGGAAACGTACTCTGTTCTCCGGCGCTGCCACGTAGCCAGCGAAGGAGAGGAGCCCGTGGAGAGGGGTGGGGATTTCTGCCTGTCCTGCCGGCGCCTGACCTCCTGCCTTTGATGCAAGGGATTTTTGAACTTTTGGGGCTGTACTCGAGCCTTTCAGACCTCAGGCCATGCCTGAATGGGCCTGCATGAGGCGGGGGGACCCGAGCTGGCGGAGCGAGCGCTGCTGTGTGCAGAAGCTGGGGGGCGCGCTGTAATTTTCCCCGCTATCGCCCATGCTGGGCCTGCTCCGTAGCAGTGTCTGACCCTCCCCCGCGGCTGTTTGCTCTGAGGAGAGGCTCGGAGCCGATGCCCCGGTCCAGACACAGGCTGCAGCTTGCTCTGGTGGCAGGGCAAAGCCCAGCTGAGGCTGAGGGAGCAGAGACCCAGGAGAACAAGCGGCTTTTGGTAAGCGGGTGTCATGCTCACAGGGGAGCAATGCCGGGCACCACGTCCTGACCTCAGGGCTTGGAAAGCTGCAGCATGTCGCTGTTCCCGACAGAGCCTCGCCAGAACCTGAGGGACACGGCTACAGCCAAGGAGCGCCTGGCCCTCCGAGACCGCGACTGGGCTTTGGAGGCTGGGCGGGCTGAATTGGGGGCAGAGAGGTACGTAGAGGAGGCTTTCCAGGACACTGGAGAACTGTCCCTCCTCCAGTCAGACAGTCTCTGTGCTGATGAGGAGGAACTTCCATATCCTAGGGTGTGTCTAGACTACAGGGTTTTGTCTACAAAATGATACCAGCGTCTACACTGCCGCTGAGTCCTGTCGACATAACGTCGATAGAACTCGGCAGTTTTGTCGACGGCTGTAAACCTCTTTCTCTGAGGAATAACGCCGTTTGTGGACAGAGTTCTGTCGACAGAGGGTGTTATTGCGTCTACACTGTGCTTGGTATCTACACTGTCATGTCGACAAAGTGGCTTGTTTTATCGACAGAACTGGATGTCGTCTAGACGTTCTTTGTCAACAGAAGCTTTGTCAACAGTATCTGTCGACAAAACCTCTGTCGACAAAGCCTGTAGTCTAGACGCAACCCTAATGACTTAACCAACCAACCAATGGAGGT